TTTTTTTTCGTTCTTGTAGTTGATCTACGTACTCGGAAATCCTTCTGAAATCGCCCATCCGATTTCTGAAAGTATTTTGTCGCATTCCGTCTTGACGCTTGCCGTCGTCGTCATGGTTCGGCTTCGCGGGTCGCCTTCGGTTGTCGTCCTTCACCGTCGTTGTTCTTCGATCGTTCTTGTCTTCCGCCGTTATTGTCATGGGTCTTTATCTCCCGTCGCCCTCATCGTCGGAGGTCATCGTAGCTTTCGCGGGGCTTTTCAACATGAGAGCACGGTACCCCGTGCCTCCATCACAACGGCACTAACACAAAAAGGCGGGTAAATGCAGAGCTAAAAAAGTGAAAGCCGTTTACAACTCCCTGTAACGCCGAATTGGAGCGCAGCTCTTGAGGAGGAGGAGTGAAGGGTACTGAGGGGAGGGTAGACCCCTCCTCCTCCTCCTCCTTCTCCCCTCATTCTTTAATATGCTCCGAGGGGTGTCACGTGACTTCGGGGAGGAGGGGTCACGTGACCTCGGGGAGGCGTGACCTGGGGGGTCACGTGACCTTGGGGTGTCACGTGGGGGTCGCCTTTGGGGTCACGTGAGCTTGAGGTGACCGTGGGAGGGGTCACGTGACCTGGTGGAGTCACGTGACCTCGGGGGTCACGTGACCTTGGGGTGACCTTGGGGGTCACGTGAGGGTCACCTTGGGGGTCACGTGACCTTGAGGTGACCTTGGGGGTCACGTGACCTTGGGATGATCTTGGTGACGGCGACGGCGACGCCGCTCAAGCCGGAAACGGGCGCCTAAGAGCTGCGTTCTAAAATGAACGTTTAATTAGTCGAACTCTCGCCCGAAACTAAAACCAATATGGTACCTCGCATTCTGCGTCGCGGACGGGAAGGGCGGCCAACCCGATCCGGCATGTTGCGGTTGCTTCTATGCACAATGTTCGGGAAGGTCATAAACCAACATACACGATAACTGTCAAGAACGAACTGGAGCTTTCAAGGAGAGCAACTACTGGTCGAAGCAATAACTGGGACGGCAGAGTTTTAACCCCGTGCTTTCGTGACATATACGAGTGCGCAGCACACCCGGCCACGTGCACGGCGATTTTTAATGGGCCTGACCCTGTATCTTTACATGGGGTGCGTCTTGTTAGTGTCTACGCAGGTATCGCCCATCACTGCTGCTCCGGAAAGCGCTTGGAAATGGGAAATATAGAGTTCTCGAGTAAAGCTAAACCCAGAACCAAAACCAATAAAGAAGGGGGAGACGGGAAGGCGAATTAATGAGACCATAATCATGTCTCGTTTATACGGACACCTCCATTTCTCCCAATACCCATCCGTAATGTGAGTCATTCGTAATAACGAGAAAAAATTCTTTTTCTTTATAGTGAAGACTCCATGTACGGGTTCATACTAAAGAGACGTCACTACATTAGGTCACTTCAGCCGTTATGGAGCAATGCCACAGCAACGCGATTTCGTAAGAGCGTGGCTTAGTTCCGTCGTAAAAGCTTGCCGAGTTCCCTTAGACTAGAAGGCAGTCACAAAATGCACTAACGAGAGGAAACATGGAGCTGGAGGCGTGCCTTTGCCGTCACGCCGGAACAAAGTATTTCACGAGCTGCATCAGCGACCACGCTAGCTGTACCAACCCTTTGCTGCTGTCCATGGTTCTGGAAGCGTTACAGCTCACAAAAACAGGACGAGGCTCTTAATCGTTTCGCTTGAGACAATTTGGAGTGAAGTTTCAGAATACAATGCACTTTTCGTATAGGGCGTAAAACGCCCTCTGTGGGTCAAGCCAGTCGATATTTCATCGGTCACCAGTTTTTGAACGACTTCCTCCTAAGTTTCCTGAACCATCACCTTACTTTTTTTTTTTTTAGTTGAAACATTTGTGTTTATTTATGTTACTTGAAACCTGATGTAATATATTACTATTTTGCGTTCTTGAGCCTCATCGTTACCAGTCCTCGAGTTCAGCAAATCTCAGGTCGCGTTTACAAAATGAAGTGCACGCTTAGTTCTTATTAGTAGTAATGCGCATGAATGTCAAGACAGAGATACTCTAAAAAGTATTCCGGTACACAGATATTACAATAATATATTTTAAGGCCAAAATACAGATTTATGTTTTATGTAACTGAGATATTTATGCTCCAAAAAGGTATCCTAGAATACACGTACAAATGACAGTAGGCGCGTCGCAGTGTAGCTTCCGGAGAACGCAGATGATAGTGCTTGTGTTGTTCTCTTTGTGCCCAGTTCAAGCAACTCCCCTTAACTCTAACTCTTTATAAATCCCCAGCTACGATCCTGAACGTAGCTAAAAAAAAAACTAGAAAAAAACATTATCGTCTCCAGTGAACCCGACAGTACGGTACTGAAAGCAGACGACTGATTCTCGTGCTCTACAAAAGGAGTTTGCTCGGAATGAACCGTTTTTTCTCTGTTTTGTCGGACGGGTCTGTCTGAAACTGTCGTCTCGAGTGCTTCTGGTTGACCAAGGGTGGGGAGATTGTACAACGAAGGCAGGACCGTCTGCAATCGCCCTAGTCTGTGTGTATGGAGCCTGATGCAACATAAGAGGATGAGAAGCGCTTCCCACAACCCGTTTATTTTCCGGGATTGGTGGTTTTCTTTTCGCCACTCGCGCCATCTCTAACGTTCAGTACGCTTCAGTAACAAAAAAAAAAAAAAAAAGATGAAAAATGAGTGGAAGGCTTTTCGGGAGGAGCTTTTCCTGCTATCATTCAAACGACCTTTCCTCGAATCACCTTTCTTTGTTTGTGTTTTACTTTTGCTTTCTTTCTCAGCTTCTCAGCTTTGGAGACTGTTCGCGATATACCAGCTACAACTAAAATCCCAGTCCCACGCTCCCTCTTCCCAACGAGGGGTCTATGTGGCGAATTCATATTATAAAGTTTCGGATCTCTGGTACCCAAAATGTGATACTGTAAAACCCTTAATGTTCGCGAGCCCTCAATTTTCGCGAATTTCACGAATTGAAGAATTCGCGCAATTTAAGGGCGCGCGAAAATTTCGGTTTTTAAGATTTTCAATGCAGGCGTCTGGAATTCGCGAAATTTAGTGGTCGCGCTTATGTCATCGGTGACCGATTCGCGAAAAATAGGGGCCGCGAAAATAAAGGGTTTTACAGTATTCGGTTTATCGCAAAAAAACTTAGTTAATTTTTGATAGCAAGTGTAACGAGATAACCAAACCTGGCAGAGTATTGCGAAACAAGTAACGCATCGTAAATCTATTTCACAACTGAAATACAAATACATTTTCAAATGTACCTCGATACAGAAATACAAATACTCGAAATTACCTGTTAGGTACCATCGCAATATATTTACATAGTGATACTGCCCAGCTCTGGCATTGCAGTACTAAAGGATTGTCGAAAGTATTTTTGGACGGCTTTTTTTTATACATGAAGCAGGCACGTAGCCGGGGGGGGAACATGGGGCCCGGGTTCTTCCCGCAACCTTTTATTTTCCTGGGGCCTCCTCTCCCCCCTCTCCCTCATACAGCATTTTGCCATAAGCGCCCCCCCCCCTCCCCGCGAATCAAAATCCTGGCTACGTGCCAGACATAAAGGCTAAGACTTTAGTTGCGTTTACGGTTTCGGATTCGCGGCCGGATCCGCGCCGGCTGCGAGCAGATTTTGGAACCGGGTGGCGAAATCAACTTGTCGCTGTTGGAAAATCTGGATAGGGGTCCCGCACCGATCCCGATATTCCGCCAACGACCAGCGGATTTCGCCCCCCGGCTCCAAACTCCTCTCGTCGCCGGCGCAAATCTGCCCGCAAATTCGCAAGTGGAAACGCACCGTTCGGGAGTTCGATATTGGCGCAAACCGGGAACGGAGTTCGCGTAAGCACAAGAAGCCGGTAAAAACTCGCAAGAACGAATAATGAGGCAGCAACCACGCTCTGCGAACGACCAACCTCGGGATTTTACGGGGAGGAGATGGGGAACTTTTTTATTTTCGAATGTCCTTTACAGACTAAAAAAAACAGGACATCGCTTAATGTGTTTGCGCTTCTTCCTCCCTGATCCATTCTTCTGCGTTTTTATTGGCTAATGCCGCAATATCATTGGCCATGGAGCGATTACACGATAATAGGGACTCGCCCTGCCTTTCAATTCTTGAGCAGCCCCCAGTGACTATTCGCCACTCCAACGAGATGCATTCCTTTTGACTCAGTTTTACATTTCAACCGCCAAGCTGCGCCAGTTTTCGCTTCCCACTTGGATGCCGCTGGTTTTTCATGTTTGTCCATCGTGACTTTCCAGTTGCGTAGCGTCCCCCCCTCCTGAGTTGCAACTTCGAGTGTTTTCGAGGCCCGGAGCAGAAACGGGATTGTGGTTATACAAGTTGAATCGGAACGCTAAAAAACACTCCCATCACAGTGTTCTTTCTGGCTGTCCGTCAGAAAAAGCGGAACATCGCAATTCTGAAATTGGTCGCTCTTTCGAGCGCCCGCTGTTTACGTTCCAGCTTCCAGTTGATATTAAATCGTCAATCTGTCGTGTTTCTTCAATAGATTTTTTTTTTCTTGCTGACCCTCGAGAAAAGCGGAATATCGCAATTCTGGAATCGGTCGTTCGCCGTTCACACGTTTGTCAGCGTTTTTCCACACCGCGTGAAGGGGCACTGCACATGCTCAGAAACCACATTTACGTGGAGTGGAGCGCTTGCATCGTGCCTGACAGCAGCGCTACCGCATCAGCGTGACGTCAGAGCCCATTTTTATCTAGTCGGTTGTGGAGCGCGTTCTGAGCACGCGCAATAGCTTATTACTGCATAAAAACGGACGCTGCCCATGTACCCGCCACCCAGCCGCTCGTCTAATAGTTTTATTTTTATTTTTTTTCATTCTCGGTTGTACTAATAAGGGCTGGAAAGGTCTATAAATGAGGCTGAACCAAGTGGCGTCTGTCACACCGCGGGTCTGTGCTTTACGTTAACCGCCATCCTTTTTCACCCCGCAGGTACCACGACGAGGAGCATGCCAACTTGCTGAACACCATGTGGCTGACAGCAATCACGTTTCTGTCTGTCGGGTACGGAGACATCGTGCCCAATACGTACTGTGGCAGGGGCATCGCGGTCACTACGGGCTTAATGGTGAGTCACTCGCAACATCCTCTTCTCCCCAGCATCTTCGCGCACCCCTGCGAGTACTAGTTATAGTAGGTGAAAACGTAAGGAGCGCTGGGTGTGGGTTCTTATATACACGACGTTTGCTTTGTGATTTGTTCTTCGCTGTTCTTCTCGGCTAATGCTTCGGCGTTCCTTATGTAGTCATGGCTATGATTGCTGGACGTGGGAAGTGGTCTGCTTTCTGTTTATGTACATGCGCACAAAAGCGGAAAAGTCTTCGAACTTGATTAACCTTTTTGAGGAAGAAGAACAAGGCGTTGAGTTTGCCTAATTTCTACCAGCCGTCGACGATGCAGCCTAAGATATAAGCACACCCATTTAACGCGACGCTGTGGGGGAGAAGGGCGCGTGATCACTCCTTAAAAACTTTTCCGGTCGTGCACTTATACAAATGGGTCGTTTCGTTACACACGTACAAACAGGCACTTCCTTTTGCACGTGACTGTATATTTGTTCAATGTACGCCTTTCTATTAATTCCTCTCACAAGGTGCTACTCAAAGTTCTCATTCGGGGTTTATGAAAAGCCATCGGTTTCTAAGGGTCACTTGACTGAATTAATTTGGGGGCCTCCGTTATAATTTATAATTCCTTTGGTCTCAGTGAAAATCGATTCAAGATCGTGAAGCCTCGCAACAATCGATCGTGATGAACTGGCTGTCGTGCTCGGATCATCGCGCAAAACATTATTTAGGCGAGCCGTCCTCGCCTTCACCATGACAGGAAGGAACGAGATTGACGCAGTTTTGGAAAAGGAGCTCTGGTTCGTTCTGAAAAAAGAGTAAATAATATAGCCACCAAAGCAAAAAGTTCCATTTGTGTTTAGGTGTCTTGTTGTTAAGAGATAATAGAGGGTTTTAGAATAGGGGTCCCCAACGCTTGGGTTCCCCTAAGAAATTCGGGGACCCAAACGCTACAACCGTGGCGTCGACGGCTTATAGAATGGCGGTTTCGCAACGCACCGCGGCACGCTTAAGTTTAACTTAGTTTTTCCCACTTGCAGCGCCACTTGCCAACGAACGTAATATTGCAAAAAAGAAAATCATTTAAGAAAACGTAAAACATATTCCCTTATCAAGTACTTTTTGTTCACAAATAATAGTTAAGGTAAAGCCCAATCCAGCCACCTAAAACAAAAAAAAAATCTAAAATCAGTATACATGTTGTTGGCTGCATTCAACCAAAACAATCCAATCCATAGCACTCGAATTTAGCGCTCGTTCTCGGATTTGTTTGGCGTTCGTGTGGCGCGCTCACCGCCTCTCCCCAAAGTTTAAGAGATCAATTAAACTACGCCGAAACTAATAGCCCCTTCCCTTGGCAAATAGCGAGCGCTCCGCGCGCTCGCCGAGCGGATTCTTTTCTCCCTCGCAAGATGAGAGCAATCTCTCCGAGTGCCGCTTGTAGATCTGGAGTAGGGGTGTCGCGAACCGGCCGGGGTTCGAGTTCGACAAGGTTCGACTTTTTCGACCTTTAGTGGAAAATTCGACGAACCTTGTATTGAGGTTCGACTCGTGTGCGCATGCGCGACAGGCTGGCCAGTTGGCTTTGGATTGGATGGTGACGGCTAAGGGGAGAATTAAGGGCAGCGCTGATTGGTTATTTCAGTTAATGCAGTACAAGAAGATTAAGTTATTAACTTCTTCAGTGATTAGAATTGGTTTCCTTTGTTTTCAACTGTTCATAAAATAAAATAACCCTTTGCATAAAAAAAAAAAAAAAATTCTCCAAACCTAGACATCCTTGTATCAAGGTCTGGCCACAGTGTCCACAAAGTCGAATCGGTCGAATCTGGGGAAAAGTTCGAAGGTTCGTCGAACCGGTTCGACCCAGTCGAACCCAGAAAGGGTGTCGCGAACCGGCCGGGGTTCGAGTTCGACAAGGTTCGACTTTTTCGACCTTTAGTGGAAAATTCGACGAACCTTGTATTGAGGTTCGACTCGTGTGCGCATGCGCGACAGGCTGGCCAGTTGGCTTTGGATTGGATGGTGACGGCTAAGGGGAGAATTAAGGGCAGCGCTGATTGGTTATTTCAGTTAATGCAGTACAAGAAGATTAAGTTATTAACTTCTTCAGTGATTAGAATTGGTTTCCTTTGTTTTCAACTGTTCATAAAATAAAATAACCCTTTGCATAAAAAAAAAAAAAAAATTCTCCAAACCTAGACATCCTTGTATCAAGGTCTGGCCACAGTGTCCACAAAGTCGAATCGGTCGAATCTGGGGAAAAGTTCGAAGGTTCGTCGAACCGGTTCGACCCAGTCGAACCCAGAAAGGGTGTCGCGAACCGGCCGGGGTTCGAGTTCGACAAGGTTCGACTTTTTCGACCTTTAGTGGAAAATTCGACGAACCTTGTATTGAGGTTCGACTCGTGTGCGCATGCGCGACAGGCTGGCCAGTTGGCTTTGGATTGGATGGTGACGGCTAAGGGGAGAATTAAGGGCAGCGCTGATTGGTTATTTCAGTTAATGCAGTACAAGAAGATTAAGTTATTAACTTCTTCAGTGATTAGAATTGGTTTCCTTTGTTTTCAACTGTTCATAAAATAAAATAACCCTTTGCATAAAAAAAAAAAAAAAATTCTCCAAACCTAGACATCCTTGTATCAAGGTCTGGCCACAGTGTCCACAAAGTCGAATCGGTCGAATCTGGGGAAAAGTTCGAAGGTTCGTCGAACCGGTTCGACCCAGTCGAACCCAGAAAGTTCGACCTAAAAATCTGGTTCGACAAAAGTTCGCGACACCCCTAATCTGGAGCCAGTGGGGCGCTCGCCGAGCGGCTCCAACCGATCCGTGAGAAAAAGGCGGGGCGCGTCGAGCGGTCCGGAGTAGTTCTGCGCGCAGCCTTTTTCGGGGGAGTACGATCCGTAGTCGACTCTCGGAACGTTTCAGTTTCGTTATCGACATTCCCGCGTGGGAGTGAAAAAGTTTCGCGGCTTTTTTGTTTCGATTGCTGGGTGGGCTCTCTTGGTGTACTTGTTTTCGTTCCCCTCGTCATGACCGACTCGCCCGAGCATTCTGCGGCGATGACATTGTTGCAGTTAATTTCAGGAGGTCTAATAAAACGCAGTGACAGCGACGAAGATATTAGTATAGCTCCAGCTCGAGTGACGACGAGGCAGCCGTTCTCAGTGAAGTGTTTGCCGAGTCGTTCGCCTGGCCAGCGAAGAGGCCCAAGATACCGCGTTACGTCGAAGGCGTTGTGCGCGCCTATTCGGGTGAAGAGCTAGGTATGTCGTTTGTTCGTTTTGTGGTCTTTGTAATGTAATTGTAATAATTAGAAGACAACACGCCAAATACTGCGCAGATGGAAGTCGCCTTCGGAGATGACGATTGCTTTACGGCATACGTGTTTGCATTAAAATCATCTGGTGGGCTAGTTGGGTAAACATCACCGTCGTCCTTGCGCTAGATTTAGTTTTGCATACGTGTTTGGTATTGCTTAATAGCTTGCTACGGCTCGTACAAGCTCTTCTAGTTGTCTTCATCGAGCTTATATAACTGTAAGGAAAAATAAATTGTGTCTTAACGTCGGGGTCACCGTTAATCAAGTAAGAAACAATCTTTTTTTTTTTTTTTTTGTCAAAGCATAAAGGTTTGATGAGAAGCTCATGCTTTCAGCAAGATAGCAAGGGGAAGCGAAACTGTTCAAAAGTGAGATTAGACTCTCCGGAAGTGGTGGCGCTGGGAGCGTTACGCTCGATTTGCTCCGCAGCGCGTGCTACTGGGATGGATCACATGTCCGATCGCTCACGGAGGCCGACCGATCGACGACCGCTAGCGCGGAGCGCTCGGCATTTTCCAGGGGAAGGGGTTGCGAGCGTACTCTGAAAGAAGCTGCTCTATTGAAATCTGAACCGGAGCGACTTTGGAGCCTTGCAAGGCTTGTTTTTAAGCTCCAGGTATCGTGCCACGAACGAAATTCACTCGGAGCTTTGGAGTAGCTATACGGTGCCATGTCTCCGGTTACTGCGTCTTTTTGGGCTTAGGAACAGTCAAAATCAGGAGACGATTTTTAAAATGTGTCGATCCCACCGCTCATTCTTTGTGACTTGACCGAAAAAAAGCGAAAGCCGGCTGCACCATTCACTGGTAATGAACGTGGCTAATATTGTGGAGACCATGACGAATTTGCTCCGAAGCGAGCGGAAAGGGCGCCGCCATGTGTGCGAACGCAACCCGGCCCCAGGGAAATATCGGCCCCGAGTTATTTCTCGAATTTTGCGTTAGTGATGAGCGCCAATCCAAAACCCAAAACTCAGTCTGGGTTCGGTGGATGCGCAGTTGGACGCCACTAATTCTTTGGGGCCCCAAGATTTGGTGACCCTTATTATAAAACTCTCTCATATTAATGTAGGCAATGCTAATTTAATTTAAACTGTAAATATATATATATATTATATATCAGGAAAACCAGCGTTTTTATTGTATTTCCCTAAACTTTAATCGCAATTACGCGTGTCCTCAATGTTCCTTCCAAAACTAAAGGCCATGAGTAGTTCGCGTGTTCTGAAGTGAAGCGGGAGGGAAGATAATTTAATCTGAGTGTCATGTTATTGGAGTTTTATCTTTCTAATTATTAAGAAGGTAAGCCTTCTTATTCCTAGTCCACTCGCTTTATAGCTCCACTCGCTTTATAGCTCAAACTTCAAAGCAATTGCTACGCGAGAAATTGTCGGAACAATTGTCGGAACGCAACAACAAATCTGCGGACATAAACATTTCTATTTTGATTCTAGTTTCAACCTGATATGTAGGAGTTTTCCACTTCCTGCGTGAGGTCGGCGTTCCGCATGAGGGCGAGCAAAGCGGTCTTTTGTGAGATTTTACGTGTTTCACAAATCCACTCTCTCGCCACAATTTCTCGCTGTAACCTCATGTGTTAATGACTTCCTGCATATTGTCCAAGCGTCGACGCCGCATGTGTCGGCGGTACGGAGATGTACGTTTCTTTCGCCGGTGTGTGG